GCAGAAATTAAGCAAGGAAATCTTGGGAATGAAGGGCTTGTGCAAAAGTCTTGGACTTGTGGAATCTGAGCAGGGAAGTCTTGGACCAAGGGTCTGAGCAGAAGTCTTGAGTTTAAGGGGCTTAAGCAAGGATGTCTTAGGCTCGTGGAACCTGAGCAGAAGTCTAGGACCTGAGGGATTTAATCAGGAAGTCTCGGGCTGAGGGTCTGAGCAAAGAAAAGCCATATGCTTAAGTGCATAGGTGATTGTAATCATGTTTTAATTATAGTGAAAATCTTTTGTGCTACAAGAGGACTTGGCTACTCTCCTTTGCAAGGAACCAGTATAAATCTCTGTATGTTATGTTATCATTTATTTTCTTCTATTAACTTCTGCTGCAACGTATAATCAGAATCTGAACACTAGTTTAAATTGAAATCTAATCAGATGCAAACTAAAGAAATGGAAAATATAATTCAACCCCCCCCCCCCCCCCTTTGTGTATTTTTCTCACCTTCAACATCTACTTTGAGGTTGGAGATGAAGTAGAGAATTTTTCTAGAAGGACTAAAATCAATACTTTTAGCTTGCACATAAGAAGTTTAGTTGTTGTGAGGACGAAGAGCGACATTTGCGTAAAATTCCAACCTGATGAACTTGTTGGTTTCTTTGATCAAGCTATTGAACCTCATCCAACCTCTTTCTTCCAACATGATAATCAACTCCTCATAGCTTTCTAAATCTTGAACATCAAATGCTCTTTCACTTACCACCTTGTAATATTTGGCTTTAAGGTATTTTCCAACATTAGTTTGCGAAAAGAAAAGGTAGTTTAGGAAGAGAGACGCGTCTTGAGTAAGAGGTGTGTGTGAAGTTAAGACTTAAGAGTTTCTAATTCTTTTTGGTACCATAGCTCTACAGCAAAACAAAACACAAGAAGATTGCAATAAAATTGAACTTTAATAGCTCTAGAAGTAGAAAAAGAGTAGAAAATATGCCAAAAATGGCCTTCTATAGGTCCTGAAGAGCGTTTGTCGCGACCACAATGAAGTGCATCACAATCACGATGCCTAATGGTATGCCCCAATGGTCACTTGCAATGGTTACTTCAAACGGATCCTTTGTAACACCTCCACCACAACCGCAATGGAGTACATCACTATTGTGATGTAACACCAACACGACCACGATGTCAGTATCGCATCTGCATGAAATCCAGTAGCCCATTTTTTCTTTCTCCTTTAATTTTTCATGCTTGCTCTTTTTCACTTATTTCTTATTCCTCTTTTACATCACAACTCATTCTCTAATAGCATACTACAAAATAATAAAATTTTTAAACAAAAAAACATCAAACGATAAAAATAAACTCCAAGATATTTAAATTGCGATAAAAATAAATTTTGATGGTTTGTTTCCCATTAAGCGCTTCTTTAAGGCCATTAGATTAACTCTTCTAGTATAAGGCTTTGCGATTTTCAAAGACACTATCTCAAACGACATCGCATCTTCTAAATGGATCTTGAGCCTCTTACGCTTCACATTAAAAATATTTAAATCTCCAGGACCATGTACTTTTATCGTACCGTCTACAAATACTTTGTTAACACTAAAGGGACCTGACCATCCAGATTTCCACTTACCAAGTAACCTCTTCAAGTGAGATATATGCAGCAAAACCTTATGTCCCTCTTGAAGTTCTTTTCTCACCAGCTTCCTGCCACAGTGCCTTATAAGTATTTCTTTCATCATGTTGATCTGATAACACTAAGATTTTTCTTTTTGGTGTTTTATTGCTTCAAACCTCTATGCACAAATTTTCCAATGAAAGCCATCACTCTATTTTTTGTTTATTCTTCACTTTCATCGTCTGAATCAAACAAGGTGACAGATAATCCCTTTTCCGTTTCTTTAGAAAAATAGGGCATTCAGCTTTGATGTGACCAAACTCTTCACATTCATAACATTATGCTCATTTACATCAATTATGTTTGTCTTCATTTCTGGTCTTGCTATGGAGACTAATGTTTGACACCTTGTCGTGAACATTTGTCCTTCATCTTCTGTCCAATCTTCACAAAGCTTTGTTGAACTTTTTTCTAATAAAAGTTATGACATATGACAAACTTTCTTCAGTATCCTTCTTACTTTGATCTTCATAATCTTGTGAGTTGGATACAAAGGCTACACCTTTGTTCATCTTTTATGATATTCCCTTTATAGCCACTTCAAAGGTTTGAAGAGAGCTAGTGATTTCATTAACTTTCAAGGTGCTTAAATCTTGTGCTTCTTCAATAGTTGTTACCTTCATGTCAAATTTCTTAGCATCTCATGATTTTTCTAACCAACCTCTTTTCTGTCATTTTCTCTCCCAAGGCAGATGAATTGTTAGCTATATCACGAAGATAAATGTTGAAATCAGATATGGACTCATCTTTCATCATTCTCAGATTTTTAAACTTAGTTGTGAAAAGTTGCAGCCTTGACATACACACTTTGGATGTGCCTTCACAAGCAGTCTTGAGAATCTCCCAACCCTCTTTAGCTTTAGTACATGTGTTGATTAGTCTAAACATGTTCTTGTCAACAATATCGCATATAGCATTCAAGGCTTTGTCATTAGCCAAAGCTTCATCGTCTTCATCTTTGGACCAATCAACTTCAGGTTTTAAACTTGTTATACCATCTTGAGAGGTAATCACATGATGTTTCCAACCTTTAATCACAATATTCCAAGTTTTGTTATTTATGGATTTAAGAAAGGCAATAATCTTAGCTTTATAGTCATAATTGGTGTCATCCAAAACATGTAGTTTATTGATATACTCTATATCGTTTGTGTTGTCCATAAGAACATAAATTATCTTCCCTGGAGCTCCCTCATACAGAACATGGTGCCTGCTCTCATTGCAATTGAAATTATGTTCTCAGGAGACAAATGTTGGAACAGATGTTTGGGACAACCTACCCAACTGGCTATACTAGAATAATGAAATAACGTAAAAATAATAAAGAACACAAGAAAAATGGTAGCCTAATTTGATTCAAACAACACCTCGGTTTGAAGGGCACTATACCCAAGAAAGGAAATTCACTCTTTAATAAAATTAATACAAAGTGTCTTAGATGAACAAATTTCTTGTTCAATACCCATCTTCTTAATTCCACCCTTAGCGTCTTTCTATTTGGGACTCCCCCTCTCACTTACTCTCAACCACTAATCTCAAGTGATTAACATCAATAAACACAATGATGAATATTGAATACAACTCAACTAAATAAACAAACTACTATGCCTTTTGATATGACTTTAAGCAATAGCGTGATGTAAAATCAACACATACAAATAACTCAAATAAAACCCTAACACTAAGTATCTTTAATCCTTACATACATCCTCAAACATTAGGTTTTAGTCTCCTTTAATAGCAATGCAATTCTGAGTTTTTTCTCTTTGGATATCTGATTTAATTTCGTCTAGAATAATAACTGATATTGTTGGATTTGATTTACACCATAAAATTCTCCAACACAAGATATAATTTTTTATTTATTCAAATTCAAATTTAAACATCCATTTAAACTGATTTGACCTTCAAACAACTGTCAAACAAATCACACAAACATTGCTAAAATATAACAACCAATTATGTTGCATAATACTGCAGAAGATACGCACCAAACCAACAACTAGTTCTGCAGACACAGGCCACATGCTGGGACATCCATTCTCACATGTGTCATTTCTTCACCAAAAGCAGTTGGGGCCAGATGCGCCACACCAGCTAGAACATCATGTCCAACATGTGTTCATACAATGTTGATTTGCATAATGTAGCAAATCCAAAAAGGAACAACAATGTACTTTCCACTTCTTTTGCATCTTAGTGTCACAAATGCAAGTCTTCTATTTGAACCATTATCTGACCTTCTGATTAAAATGCCGAACCCCAATTTGACAGCCTCCGTGCGGATCCATTGGAGCATACGATCATGAACAACAAACTTTGTTCATTTGTAAATTGGTTGCCAGCATCTATCTTAATATCAACCGGTTTGACATTCGTAGACATAATAGGTTTAAGGATAACATCAAGGCGCACCATATCTAAGGTCGATCATAACATAAAATATTAAAAATTTGTCCAAATTCAACTCTGAGTTAATAAAAAAAATACTCTTCCGAACGACATTTAACAACAATCCGGACATGATGTTCATTTTTTCAACCAGAAAACCAGATTAATGTAGACAATGAGGAAGAAAACATGTAAATTACCTTAAATTTTAGCTTCTTTTGTTCCTTTAATGTGAAAAAAAAAAGACAAATGTTGATTTGAAGTAGAAAAGTCAATTGAGTGTGGAAGGAGATTTTGATAGGGTTTGAAAAAGAATGTTGTTTTTTATCATGAGCGAAGCAAACATGCAAGATGATATTTTACTAAATTTCTCGTTTGACATTTCTGAAAATACACTTTCAGAATTGTCATTAACATATAAATGTGATATTTTTTCAAATTTTAACTTAACAAATCTAAAATTATACATCTGAATCGTTATTGTGTTATTAAATGAACAAAATCATCCAAAGCTACACATCCGACCTTATTTTTGAAAAAAATAAAGGCGTGTCTAAACACGTTTACTATGAAATAAATGTATCTAAATATATAATTCGTAGAAACATTTTCGAAATCTAATTGAGTACTTCTCCACCTCGAAGAAGTAATCCAACTTTTATGATTCAATCTTATTCTAGTTACTTTGGTTAAAAAATTATTTTCTTTTATATATAAAAAAAAAATCTAAAAAACTTTTGTTTGTAAGTTTTGAAGCGCTATTCAAGTTTAAAATTAAAATCATCACATTTCGATGCAACCTATGTTACCTGTCTTCTTAGAACCTCCGTCACATTAGCGCCGATTTCTCCAAATCACCATTTCTCACATCTCTTCCAACCTTTTATACATCTCTCTCACTCCTTCTCTCTTCTTCTTCAAATCTACTTTCTCTCTCTAACAATGTCTCAAGTTGTGGCCACACGATCCATTCAAACCACCCTCCCCAGTTCTGGATCTACACATGACAGAGCTCAGAAGCTGTTAAAGCCCTCAACTTTTGCTTCCAAAGTGTTCCAACCAAAAGGGAACAAGTCTTCTAAATTGGTCTTCAGAAGCTCTCGTATCAGTGCAAGGAAATCAGCCTCTGTTGAAGTTGTACCTGTGTCACCTGAAGATGATCCAAAGGTTTGTTCTTTTGGAATTTCTTGTTGTGAAAGTTTGAAAATTTGAGATTTTGGGAATGGCCCAGAAGGTTTAAGTTGATGGAAAATGTATATGGGTTGTGGGTTTTTAGTTTTAGCAAATCCCTAAAATATACCAAATAATAATAATAATAATAATAATAATACTCTTTGACAATTTCAAAATGAGCAATATTTTTACTATGTTGTTAGGATAATCACAATTACTATAAATGCATAGTAGAATATGATGAAAGCGGTATCAGCTAGAGGGTAGAATTGGAAAATAAGTAATTAGTGCTGGTTATACACCAACAATGTGTTATGGACTAACAATATTTATGAAGTATTGACTTGGACATGACACGGACACGGACACATCCATACCGGTTAATTTTGAAATCATGATAGTTAAATCTAATCACATGTATAAGTTTTGTGTGCCCGACACACCTTCATTAAGTAGTGTCTGCTTTGTACTGACTTGGACACGACATTGACACTAACACATTTAGAAAACTTCATTAAGAAGTGTCGATGAATTGTACTGACTTGGACACGAACACATTCATACCAGTCAAATTTTGAGATCATGATATTTAAATCTAATCACATGTGTATGTGTGTGTGTGCCTGACGCACACCTTCATTTAAGTGTCGATGCTTTGTACTGACTTGGATATGACACTGACACGGACACATACGTACCATTCAAAATTTGAGATTATGATAGTTAAATCTAATCACATGTGTATGTGTCGTTTGCGTGACACATCTTCAGTAAGAAGTGTCGATACTTTGTAGAAAACAATTTTTTATAGTTTTTATGACTAACTATAAAACTTTAGGGATTACTTATTATTTTCATATACTTTAGGATTAAAAAGGAGACAATGATGCCTCATGAACTAAGTTTGAGGGTTACTCTTAGAGCTTTTTTTTTGAGAAAACTGTTTTGTGACTCTTTTTTGTGTTATGATGATTAGATTGAGGAGCATTTGCAGCGTTTGCGTGGGGTACAGCCATTGGGTGACACTTCTAATGGAATATGGTCGAAGCCGACGGTTAAGCGTAAGACAAAGATAGTATGTACTATTGGACCTTCTACCGATACTAAGGAAATGATTTGGAAGTTGGCTGAGGCTGGTATGAATGTTGCTCGCCTAAATATGTCTCACGGTGATCATGCTTCTCATCAGAAAGTTATTGACCTGGTTAAAGAATATAATGCTCAATCTAAGGACAATGTTATTGCAATTATGCTCGACACCAAGGTCTGTTCTTACCTCGGCATTATTTTCCCCCTTTTCTTAAGGGGTTTTAATTAGTTTCCTTAGTAATGATATTGAATGCCTACTAATTGATCGCATTTATCAAATTATACAAGAGATCAAATATGCTACTTATACATTAATACTTTCTCTGGTCTTATTTATAAGAAAAAAAAATTTACTTTTTAGATTCATTGAATAACCAATGTATCTGATCTATATATAGTTCAGACACATTACTATTTAATGAATTTAAAAAGTAAATTTTTTCTTATAAATAGGATCAGAGGGAGTATCTCTAAAACTTTGTTTCTTTCGATTCAAATCAAGAGTATTTATTTGCGCTTGTCATCTGATAAAAATTGTTCAATTTTAGGGCCCAGAGGTTAGGAGTGGGGATTTGCCACAACCAATCAATTTGGCAACTGGGCAGGAATTCACTTTTACTATTCAGAGAGGTGTTGGAACTGCAGATTGTGTCAGTGTGAACTACGATGATTTTGTCAATGATGTAGCAGAGGGGGACATGATTCTTGTTGATGGTATGGTTATCTACCGATTAGTCAAAGTATTTGAATTACATACTTCTTCCGATCTTGATTATAAGTAAAAAATAATCAACTTTAAGCTTATTAAGAACTTTGCTATACTGTCGATGAACTTATGACACTTTATGTATGATATAGGCGGTATGATGTCGTTGATGGTTAAGTCAAAGACAGAGACTTTAGTGAAATGTGAAGTTGTTGATGGAGGAGAGCTTAAGTCAAGGAGACATTTGAATGTTCGAGGAAAAAGTGCAACACTGCCTTCAATAACGGGTTAGAATTCATATTTATTAATCAATCCTTGTTGGTTTTACGGTGGTTGGTTTCATAATATGGATATGATCTTCAATTGATTTGTTGCAGAAAAGGATTGGGATGATATAAAATTCGGAGTGGATAACAAAGTTGATTTCTATGCTGTTTCTTTTGTTAAGGATGCCGAAGTCGTTCATGAATTGAAGAATTATTTGAAGAGTAAGTATCTAACAAAAAGTATTATTTTTTCAATTTGACAGATTATTTTGTTGCGCGTTTGTATTATGAGGATGATGAATTTCTCATTCAATTTAATAATGCAGGTTGTGATGCTGATATACATGTCATCGTAAAAATTGAAAGTGCGGATTCTATACCGAATTTGAATTCAATTATCACTGCATCCGATGGGGTACTAGCCTATTCCTCGTATTATTTCTTTATGCTTCATGCTTAACTAAGTACTTATAGCATAAATAAGCACTTATCATATAAATGCTTACGTATAAGTTATAAGTTGTTTTCATAAGCTATCTTTGAGAGCTTTTGATCATTGATAGAGATTCTAGAGTGCTTTGATACCGATTCTTGATGTTGATTTGTCTACTTTTGCCATTTTGTTTAGGCTATGGTTGCCAGAGGAGATCTTGGCGCTGAGCTTCCTATTGAAGAGGTTCCTCTTTTACAGGTAAAGACGGTTATCAATTGTTTTCATTCTATGAAGCACCAGCATCGACATGCCACATGTGTCGGTATTGTGTCAGTGTCGAACAAGGAGAAATGTTGGAACACTGAACATGTTTTCTATATAGGTGTCATTTGTGTAACTTGACATGAAGTTAAGCTCATTGTGTCTTTTTGCATTCTGGTGTAGGAAGAGATAATCAACTTGTGCCGAAGCATGGGAAAGGCTGTGATTGTTGCAACGAATATGCTTGAAAGCATGATTGTTCATCCAACTCCAACTAGAGCTGAGGTATCAGATATAGCTATCGCTGTTCGAGAAGGCTCTGATGGAATAATGCTCTCTGGAGAAACTGCTCACGGAAAGTAAGTAACTAGATTTCCCTTCCCTCTAGCGTCCAATTACATTGACAGGATCAAGGTCGTTAAGATCGAGATCTGGCATAAATCGGGAGAGGAATGTAAGATCGTAAAACATAAGATTGTAACTAAGATCAGAAGATCCTACTTAATTAATTTTGTAAGATTGGGAGGGGTACTAGATTGTAAAATATAAGATCATAACAAAAATCGTTAGATGCTTCTAAAACGAAAAATAATTTTTCAATTATTTGAATGCAGGTTCCCACTAAAAGCTGTGAAAGTGATGCACACGGTAGCGTTACGGACAGAAGCCACTATAGAAGGTGGCCAAATGCCACCTAACATCGGCCAAGTGTTCAAGGTCGAAAATCAACCTATTTTGTACCATATTTCTTGATTCTTAATCCATGTCACTCTTCTCATTTGAATGTGGAAACTAAAATTCGTATCTTTTTTTATTTATTTTGCTCTATGTAGAATCACATGAGTGAGATGTTTGCATACCATGCAACCATTATGTCTAACACACTTGGAACCTCTACCGTCGTCTTCACTCGAACGGGTTTCATGGCTATCCTACTCAGCCACTATCGTCCTTCTGGCACAATATTTGCTTTCACAGACGAGTGAGTTATTTTCTTCCCTTTTCTGTTGTTTTGTCGACTTGTGTATCTGTAAAATTGAGATTGATTTGCGTTTACTTACGTGCTCTTGCTGGACATGCAGGAAGAGGGTTCAACAACGACTGGCTTTGTATCAAGGAGTTTGCCCTGTATACATGGAGTTCAGCGACGATTCCGAAGAAACATTCAGAAGAGCCTTGGATTTTCTACAGGTAACTTTGAAAGAATTATTAAAATATCGAGTTATTATGGCCAAACTCCGAATTACTAGTCCTTTTTTCACTGGAAGCCGGAGCATTAAAACCAAAACGATGCACTTTAGAGTGTTTAGCGGGTGTTTGGTTCTGCTGTGAAATAACACATTTAGACTTAATAGCTACAAATCCTAGTTTCAAATAGAATCAATTCTGAAAAGCATATGGTTCTGCTGTGAAATAACACATTTAGACTTAATAGCTACAAATCCTAGTTTCAAATAGAATCAATTCTGAAAAGCATAGTTAATTCTACTCGAAATTTGAAAGTAACCAAACATGTCAGAATCAATTCAGCATGTCCAGAATCAATTCTATTTGTTTTGGATTTTCTTTATGATGATATTTGTATGGTTTGAATATTTGCAGAAGCAAGGAATGGTTAAGTTAGGAGAAGAAGTTGCACTTGTACAAAGTGGTAGACAACCCATATGGAGATTCCAATCCACTCACAATATTCAAGTCAGGAAAGTTGAATGAACAAGAAGAAAAAATGGTTGGAGAAAAACCACTAATAATGTTTCAAGACACTATTAAAAAATATTTAGAATAATAATATCATCTTATTATTATTGTTGCCTCTATTGGTTTGTTTCATTCATAGGTTTCTTGTTAGTATTGGTTACACAAATTGTAATGCATGTTGCTGAAATTTTGGTGAGAAATTGAAATGAGAAACAATTTATTTCAACTTGTGCTTATGTTTTTGCCTTGTCTGTCTTGTTAAGATAATAGAAAGAGAGAGAAAAATCTTATTTGTATTTTCATTCTTAGCAAAATAGAATATAACAACTGTGAATAAGAGAAAAGGACAAACAATAGAATAAGACAAAACAGTAGAATATTCTATTCTAATAGTCCCCCTTAGAATCAGAGGGTGTCTTCAGTAGCTCCCTTTTACTGAAAACTTTGAGCTTGTCTCTTAGAGGCAGGAATTTGACAGCAGAGAGAGGTTTGGTTAGTGCATCTGCCTATTGGTCTTGAGCAGGAACATGAACCACACAGTTAAACTCTTACTGATGACTTTTTCTCTAAGAAAGAAAATGTCTAATTCCATGTGTTTGGTTCTCTTATGAAGCACAGGGTTGTGAGCTAAAGTAACTGTGCTTAGGTTATCACATAGAATCTTGGGAATTTGAAAAGTGCAGTGTAATTCAGTGAGCAGAGATTGGACCCATAACATCTCAGAAGCAAGCTGAGCCATGCTCCTGTACTCTGCTTCAGCACTTGATCTAGCCACAAGTTGCTGCTTCTTGGACCACCAAGAGATCAAATTAGGCCCAAGAAAAACACAAGCACCTGAGGTTGATTTCCTGTCATCAGGATCTGCATCACAAAAACCCAAGAGAGAAAGAGGTTGATGTTTAGGGGTAGGTTGAATGAGAAGACCATAGTGAAGTGTCCCACTGAGATATCTCAATATTCTTTTGACAGCTTTCCAGTGATCCTCCAAAGGATTCGATAAGAATTGGCACACTTTGTTAACAGCAAAAGAGAGTTCAGGCCTGGTCAATGTTGCATACTGCAATGCTCCAACAGCAGATCTAAACAGGGTGGGATCTGCAACAATATCTGAACCAAATTTAGACAATTTACTGCTAGAAACCATAGGGGTAGGCATAGGATTAGCTGTGCCCATATTCACTCTAGTAAGCAGGTCAGTCACATACTTAGATTGAGATAAGATGGTAGAAAAATTAGACAGATGGGAGACTTCAATGCCTAGGAAATAATCCAACTTACCAAGATCTTTGAGGGCAAAATTAGAGTTAAGACTCTTAATAAGCTGAGCAATATAGGCAGTGGAATTTCCTGAGATGATGATATCATCAACATAGATTAGGACCATGATAATGAGGCTGCTGGTGTGAAGATAAAACAAACTGGGATCACATTTGCTAGGCTGCAGTCCATGAGTCAGAAGAGAACCCTTGAGTCTTTCAAACCAGGCTCTTGGAGCCTGCTTTAGACCATATAAAGCTTTGTTCAGCTTGCAAACCAAAGACTTATCAGTAGCCTCAAACCCAGGAGATTGTATCATATAAACCTCCTTTTCAAGTAGCCCATTAAGGAAGGCATTATTGACATCAATTTGTTGCATCTACTAGTTATTTGTGACAGCAAGGGTTAGCACAAGTCTTATGGTGACAAGTTTTACTACAGGGGAGAAGGTTTCTGAGAAACCACTCCCAGCCTGTTGGTGAAAACCTTTGGCAACCAGCCTTGCCTTGTATTTAAGAATGGTACCATCAGGATTCTCTTTCACACGGAAAACCCATTTGCAGCCTATGGGTTTCTTGGATGCAGGTGGAGGCACCAAAGACCAAGTTTGATTTTTCAAAAGAGCCTGATATTCATCTTGCATAGCCTGAAACCAGTGAGGAGTGGTCAAGGCCTGTTTGATTGAGGTAGGTTCCATGTGAGTTAAGAGCAAAGTAGGATTGACTCTAGGCTGAACAATGCCATTTTTTGCATGAGTTTGCATGGGATGAACATTGAGAGGGTGAATAGGAGGAATAAGAGCAGAATTAGAAGAAGAAGGAGGGACATGAGATGAAGAGGAAGGAGATATAGTGTTGGCCTCAGCCAGATCAGAAAGATCAGAAGGAGAAGAGGGTGAATGATGCAGGGGAGAAGAGGGAGAGCGTGCATTAGAGACAATAGGAGACATAGTTTGAGCAGAGATAGGAGAATAAGAATGTCCTGCAGTGTGGGAAGCAGCATTAGAAGGTGATGGCTGAGAAGAGACAGGAGGGGAAACCTGCTGCAGTGGGGGAATATGAAATGTAGGAACAGGTGGAGAGGCAGAAGGAAACCAAGAGGCAGAAGTAGTGGAAGTCACAGGAGTGGAGGAGCTAGGAAAGAGCTCAGGGTAGGGAAATCTAGTTTCATGGAATAGGAAATCTAGTTTCACGGAATAGGACATCACAGGAGTGGAAGTCACATAGTGTGTGTGTGTGTGTGTGTGTGTGTGTGTGTGTGTGTGTGTGTGTGTGCGTGCGTGCGTGCGTGTGCGCGCGTGCGCGTGCGTGCGTGCGTGCGTGTGTGTGTGTGTGTGCATCAGCTGAAAGGCATTTGTAGCCTTTGTGAACAGAGGAATATCCTAGAAAAATACACTCCTGAGATCTAAATGAAAGTTTGTGGGAGGTATAGGGTCTAAGGAAGGGGAAATAGGCACAGCCAAAAGCCCTCATTGAGGAATAGTCAGGAGGTTTGTGCATTAAAATGGAGTAAGGAGATTTATTTTGAAGGGAAACACTAGGTAACCTATTGATAAGGTAGGCTGCAGTGAGAAAGGAATGATCCCAATACTTGAAAGGAAGTTTAGAATGAGCAAGAAGAGCAAGGCTTGTTTCAACTATATGGCGATGTTTCCTTTCCACTATGCCATTTTGATGGTGAGTGTAAGGGCAAGAGAACCTACGAGTAATTCCTAAGGGAGCAAGAAACTTAGTGAGAGGTTTGAACTCACCACCTCCATCACTTTGGATGCTTTTAATTTTACAGTTGAACTGAAGTTCAACCATAGACTTGAAGTCTATAAATTGAGTGAGGGTGTCAGACTTTAGTTTTAAAGGGAAAACCCAAACAAATCTTGAGAAAGCATCAACGCAGGTTAAGAAATAAGAGTAACCTCCTGAGGAGACCATGGGTGCAGGGTCCCAAAGATCACATACAACGAGTTCAAAGGGACAGATGAAAATAGTAGTGGACAGTGTTGATGGCAGTCTGTGAGACTTGCCTAAACAACAAGCAAAACATAGGTTAGTGGGAGGCTTTTGAGGGATAGGAATTTGACAGAGTTTGAGAACCTCAAGAAGTGCATGATGGTGAGGGTGACCAAGCCTAGTATGCCATAGAGCATACTTGTTATTTGATATAGTGACAGAGTTAGGTATGGCAGAATTAGAGTAGGAATTAAGAGCAGAAGTTAAATGTACGGCAGAAGAATTGAAAGTAGAGTTAGATGCAGTTTTATTATTGTGAAAATCATCATTACAATAGGAAAGATGGTTGCTAGTAGCAACAGGATTACAAGGATAACTAAATCTAGAACAGAAATTAGAACTAGAAGACTTAGAACTAGAACTAATAGACTTGGATAGAGAGGCAATGGGCTTGGCAAATCTGTTGAGTCCATCAGCTCCAACAGTACCATGAAGAAGAATTTCAGAAGTATCCTGCGATTTTACAACACAAAATTGAGGATGAAATTCAAAATAGACACGATTATCCTGAGCAAATTTGCTGACACTGATGAGATTCTTAGTTATATGAGGAACAAGAAGAAGATTATGCAAGATTAATGATGAATTAGAGGGATTAAAGGAAGGAAAACTCATGGAACCTACAAAATCAATAAACAAACCTTGACCATTCCACATGAACACTTGTTCAGTTCCAGGCAGTGAAGAAGCATCAGACAAATTTGAAATCTCAGGCGTGACATGATGCGAAGCACCTGAATCTGGATACCACCATTGGTTGTTGAAGCTGGGATCAGAACCTGCTAAGAAAGCTTGAGTTGAGGCTGCCTTGGTGGTGTAGGCCTTGGAGCAGGAGCATAACCAAAAGCAGAAGGAGGATATGGTGAGCGTGGCATCATCATGAAAGGATTGAAGGGAGTTTTTGGTGAAGGGTAGGACAGAGCACCTGAAGATGAGTACCTATGATAACATATTGATGCATCATGACCAGGTTTGTGGCAGATTTGATAAGAAACTTTACCAGATCTGCCACCTCCACGTCCAAATCTTCCACCACCACGACCAGACCTACCACCACGAAAGCCATAACCATGATTGTCAGCAGTGGCGTTAACATGGCTAGTATCAATCGGAAAGGTTGAGGCAGTATCTACACCAGAAGCATCAGTAGAGAAAGACTGAAAAGATGGTGGTGCTTGAGCAAGATTCACTGAAATAGGTTCAATGACAACAACTTTACGATTCTTCTCTAGACGTGATTCATGAGCAAGGAGACTCAATTCAAGCTCTTCAATCGCACTGAGGTCCTCTTTGTTGTTCATCGCAGCAACAATAGGATCATACTCTTCAGGAAGAGCATCGAGAACGATTTCAATGAGATTCCGCTGAGGAACAGGGTCGCCAATAGATACCAGAGATTCGCTAATGTCACGAACACGAATCATGAATTCTGTTATCGTGCGCGAACCTTTAGTGAGATTTCGGAGCTCCGATCGAAGTTGACGCGCCTTGGTAGTGAGCAAGGTGTTGAAGTAACGTGAACTTCAGACCACACTTGCCATGAGTACGTGCAATCGACCAGTTTCGGAAGAATGGAGTCAGAGATAGTGGAGAAGAGCCAAGTACAGATAAACGCATCTTGTTGTTCCCAGTCAAGATACAAGGGATTCGCACCGCCGGTGACCAGATCTGCGCCGGGAAGGAAGCGCGGAGGAACAAGTGGCGTCGTAACAAACTGTTGCAGTTTGTGGCCACGAATCACACCCTCAAGCTGCTGTTTCCATTGCTTGAAGTTTCTTTCATCAAGCTTGACAGAGATGAGGTGAGAAAGTTTGATGTGAGAAGAGGGAAAAACACCCTCAAAATTGAAAGGAGAAGCCATGGGAGCACGGGAAAGAAGAAAAAAAAAAGCTCAAGATACCATGTTAAGATAATAGAAAGAGAGAAAAATCTGATTTGTATTTTCATTCTTAGCAAAATAGAATACAACCAGTAGATATATATATAGCTGTAAGTTTGTTACCACAGATGTCACAGCTCACTAACAAACTTACAACTGTGCCTTAACAAACAGACAACTGTGAATAAGAGAAAAGGACAAACAATAGAATAAGACAAAACAGTAGAATATTCTATTCTAATATATCTCATTATAAAGATCTCTTTCACAATATTTAGATTATTTGTTGTATTAGTATGTCAAGATAGTATTTATTAACTTTTTTTAATAAAATGTTTATTTATTGTATTTTAATGCATCTGTATCTAACTATTATTTACTAAAAGTATTTTGATAAATGAAAATTATGTTATTTCAAAACAACACAATTGATTGTAATAAAAACTGACAACAAAGGTGTCCAACACCATGGAATGAACAATGGTGTCTGTATGATGAACAATGTTTTATGTGCGTGAAAGAAACATTGGTATCTACAAAACCATGAAAATCAATTATTTAACATATGAATTGACTATCTATTTCCAATAAGGATTTAAGCCATTGTATATTCGAAAGTAGATATCAAAATGGCTTTATTTATGGTCCTCCAAGCACAGCATTCTCAATGTCTTCTCTGCTCAAAGCATAACTAAATCTCCTTTCCATGTCTTTTTCAAGATTCCCAGGTCCACTCTTCAAATACCTGCAACAAATCATAACTTATTTGAAATTATCTACTGAAAGAAGCAAGTGTGAACCTGTTTGGATGAGCTTTTACAAGCAACTTATGTCCATAAGCTATTTTCAACTTATTTTCATAAGCTCTCAATGACAGCTTATACGAAACAGTATGACATTATATTAGCACCACTAATATTATGTCCTTGTATTAGTTTAGAAACCTTTTCAATCAGTACAGAATACAAGATCCAGTTCTATCGTGTAAAGCACAAATACAACACTGACTATGACATGTCAACACCAATAATAATTTGATCAAACAAAGTGATTTAATGTAACAACTAGTGTCGGTATCTTGTCGGTTATGGAAACCAACACATGTCGGATCAAATTATTTTTGGTGTTATTCATTCTACATAAGTTATCTTACCTGTTATTCATTCTACATCCAATTAAGAACACATTATGAAACCAATATCATACTTGAGTTTACTTTTTGACCTAGTAAATGTTAGTGCACCAGAACAGCAACCACAACATCAATGCAAACACTCAGTATAACTCTGTTTGGGCCCAACCTTTAAGGCCCGGCTCAGGATTCTTAATCAGAAACCAGCCTATTCGATTAGCTCGGTTATAAGTCACGCCCACACATTACGTCACACCACACATACATATCTTCTAGCAACTGGGTTGATGTCTCTGCGAGACTGGTTGAAGCCAGTGTTATAAATTGCAGACCATAAAAAATAGTGATTTATTCAAATTCTATTAGGTTATAGTACTATTTAAGTGCAGCTATTCGACAACACCTTATGCTAAATTGCATGCCACAAAAAAAAATCGATTTGTTCGCATTGTTCCTAATTCTCTGCATTATCAACAGTTGCTACATGACCACAATTTAAAACTTTTGCTACTTACCAAACTCAATACAAGTTAAACTCTCCACCAAATTCCAACTCAAATATTCAAACCTCAAAAACCAATTGAGCAATATTGAACCACACAAGGGTGGATAACAAATCACCCTGTGTACACAATACACATCTCTGGTGTAGCACCGACACCTCTGATAACTCTGATAAAAGGCATGTCAATGTCAGTGTCCATATGCCAGACACGACACTTGTGATTGCGTTCAATTTATTCATTTTATCGATGTCAGTGTTGGTCCAGTGTCTAATGTTCATGCCTGTGTCTATGTCTATGTTCATAGGTACACATTCATACATTCACTCACATAAACATTGAAACCTCCAGAACCCAAACCACAGAAGTTAGAACACAATAAAAAACTTAAAAGAGAAAGAAAGAAACGAACCTAATGTAGATATCAGTGGCATCAAGAGAGAGGTGAGCATGCCAATCAGGGTTATTCACAAACCACAAAGCCCTATCATCCTTACTCTGATTAAACCCCAAACTCTTCAACCATGCCTCAATACAAGGCAAGCTATGTGAGTAGAGAGGTTTTGTCTTCTCAGGTAGTTTCTGAAGCCACTCATCTTCCGGAACTGAGGGCTCTTCTGATTCTTCTGATGCTTCAGATGACTTGCAGAAAACTATGGCTGTGATGGGTTTTCTGAGGGAAATGGAAAGTGGGTTGTGAAAAAGAAAGGGTTTTGTAAAAAGGGTGGTGTGAAAGATTGGATTTTGAGAGAAAATGGATGGAGAGATTGAAGAAGGGAATGAGGATGAGATTGTGTTTGTGAATGTTGAGGATGAAATGGTGAACATGTTTTTGTTTTGTTAATGTGAGATAATGTTTGGTTTTTCTTTACTGGCTGTGTGAGGAATTTGGAGTTGAATTGGAATTGGAAGAATGAAAAATGAGAAAGAAAATGGAAATTTGGACAGGAAGTTTGAAAAAAAAGCTGGATTGCAGGAGAGGGTTGAGGAGTGTTATCCTGCAAAAGGATGTTTGAAGGGTAATTTTGTCATATTCAAGATTTTTGATCATGTAAGCTCTACTTTATTTTATAATAACTTTTAGATATAACTTTTTTTTTTTTTACCATTTTTACCCTTATTTTAGATAACACTTATTGTTCTACCATTTTGATGATATAAGATTTTTGAATATTCAAATGGCTTAACTTTTAGATAACACTTATTATAATATATAAAGGAAATACTTTGTTTTTGTGTGACCTATTTTTCTACCATTTTTACCCTTATTTTATTGTGTAATTTACTTAATAACTTTCTATTATTAACTTCCATATAACTTATTGTTTTTAACTTCCACATAACTTCTTATTATTAACTTTCACATATTGTATTCTTTTTTTTAAATTATTTTAACAAAAATTATCATTTATATTTTTATGCGCATTAAAAAAGCGGACAGACGGGCACGCAAGTGCCCGTCTGAACGCTAGTATATATAAAGGCAATATTTGATTTTTGGTGTAGCCTAATTTTTTTTATCAATTTTACCCTTATTTTAAAATATATAAGTTACACAATAACTTCCATTGAACTACTACTATCATCTTTCATATAACTTCCTACTAATAACTTCTTACATAACTTCCATATAAAATTAACATTAAATAAAAATATATCATTTATATTTATATGTGTGTGTAATAAAAAAGCGGACAGACGGTCACGCGAGTGTCAGTCTGAACGCTAGTAACTTTTAGAAGAAAAAAACTAAACTATTTAATTATACATTATTTTATAAAATACTTGTATAATTCATAATCTATAATGTATAGTGTATAATCTATAACAATATATAAAGAGAAAATACATTTTTGGTGTAGCCTTTTTTATTTTTAATTTTTTCTAATAAATTGATTCTATTAATTTTTTATTAGTTAGTTATTACTCCTCATCTTTCATAACTTTTATGCGGTTTCTAAACCAATAAATCTTCTCTTCCCATTTTACATTTTACTCATTTATAACTATATATAAAGGGGATAAGAGATTTTGGTCGGACTTATTTTTCTTTTCATCAATGCCCTTAAGTCATGTGACTCATGAAAAGATGGATAACTTCTCAAAACATGAACGGCCACATTGTAACTTCCATTTTAAACAAATGTTATTGTTCACTGTCAGTTACAAATAATATTTATATGTTTAGAACTTTTCTCTCAAATAAACTACTCCACTTTTTTAAAATTTTACATTCTCAATCATTTATTTATTTTAATGAAGATTAAAACATTTACATCAATTTCTATTTTTCAATCTGTTTCCATTTTTCTCACAAATGTGATTCCAAAGCTTCATATTTTCTTTACAAACCCATCTGCAATTCCGTTACTCAAACATGCAGATCTTACAAATGACGGCAACAACAACGTTTAGGGAACATGATTTCGAAACGTGAAAAAAACGTAATTCTAAAAATTATTGTGTTTGGGGAATATGTTTGAGAAAATAATCGGCAATCGCGTGTTTGGAGAAAATGGCATTAGTTGTAATTCATGAATTTGTGTAAGGTTGCATCATTCAAATCAGAAAACGAATCTTATGTTTCAAATCTGACGTCGTTTCAAATTTGCAATATATTTTCTGCTTCCATCTAATAACATTAATATTTTAAGTTGCAATTTGGGTGTAGCAAATTTAAGTAATAAATCATATTTTTTATGGTAACATTGATTTTGTTTTTCTGATATAATAGTATTAAGACATTTTTATGCTAATATTGATTTGGTTTTTCCTGGTATGACAATATTAAGATTTTTTTATGATAACATTGATTTAGTTTTTCTGGTATAATAGTATTATGCACAGAGTGTTTTATGTACAGGTTAAATCAACACTTATACATGTTATATTATGCACAGATTGTATTATACCTTTTGTGTTTGTTTAAGTTTTTTCTCAGAAGTTACTATTTAATGGTATATATGGTCATTAAACTTTTTTATACCAGTTATTTTTTCTTTTAAATTGTTTTTGACAGATTTATTGATTACTTTGAAAACTTTCTTGGATTTCTCTAAAACAAGTTGTAGATCAAATGTTATTCTTAAGAATTTCTTTGAATTTCTATCTCTCTCATACCAAGTTATATGCACAACTGCAGGTATTCAAAGGCAAAATGGAATTGACAGAAACAAGGCGAAAACATGAGGAAAATAGAGAAATTGTGACGGCATCACACAATCCGCATTGTAGTTGGTGCAAAGGAGAACCCGCACCATGAAGCAGAGAAAGATATGCATGAGTGTTTTTTTTAATAAGAAGTTATCTGTAGAAAACCTTTGTACATGGAGACTAAATTTATACTATAAGTGTTGCTCTAATAATAAGTTATCTGTAGAAAACCGCATGTCAAATAATTTTTTTCATCTATGATATCTAAATTTATACTATCTTTGGTTGCTCTAAATTTGATAGTCATTTGAAAGATTGTTTTTCCATTTGATAACAGAAACTGAATTTGTTTTGTAGTTGATGTTACTTCTTTGTTTATGGATAATAGTTAATATTTTTTAGATTTTTTTGTATGCATTTGACAATACTTGGGGATATTTTACTTTGATTTATTTTAGTCAGTTAGCAATAATTGTGCCTTTAGTGACATTTTTTTTATCAATGCTAGAAAATTGTGAGAAGGTTTATGTCTATTTTCTCTAATTCTAGATCATTTTACGGGCTATAATGATAATGATCATAAATATATATGTTGTTGCAAACTCAGTCACACAACAATTGTATGTTCAGCAAATACTATAATAATAAATTCTTATCTCCAAAGAAGAAGAAAAATTGAGTCTATAAAGTTATATAATCATGTCAATTTTTATAGATTTTTTTATTTGATTTCCTCTCTTTAATTAATTGTTATAACGGAGTAATAAATGACAACATTTTATAAATTGTTTTACTATATTATCTCTAAGATGAAGGAGTATGATAAAAAGATATTCTGTAATTTCTTTTACTATACGAACTCTCACTTAAAACCTATAATTTTACATATGTCTATATTATTTTGAATGTTTTTATTTTAGATGTCAAAGAGTGTAATGTATAAAAATATTCACTTTCAAATTTCAAACAGTAGAAGAAGGGAACCCATAGTAATATTGATGATCATTCTCGCTAACCTTTTCCAATGTGCTTGACTGTGTGGTGATCAAAAAGTTGGAGAAAAATCACAAAAATATCATCCAACTATGATTATTGATGGATTGTTAGACAATTTATTTATTAACCTTTATTAACAATTAATTTTATATCAGTTGAAAAATATTTTTTGTCTCATTAGAGAGAGGAAAAAATAAAATAAGGGATATATTAAATAAAAACTTATAAATTGATTTATTAATATATTTATCATATCTATTAAGTTACAAATAAAATGAGATTTAGAGGTTGAAAGTTTAGGGAAGCGGTTCCTAAATGCTTGCTCTGAACGTGAAAATGGATATATTATTATTGTTTTGAACCATAATTTTTACTTTGATAATAAAATAAAGGGACAACTTCTCTAGCCAAGATGTGCGATGTATCTTCAATCAATTAACTAATACTATATTATTTTATTATGTTTAATTATTTATTTAATAATTTAAATTTTATAGATTTCCAATTCAATTTAAATCAATGTTTGGTCACTATGATAAAAATATGAGAAAAAAGGAAATGCACTGACAGTGTAAAACATTTTTATTTTAAAAATACTGATATTACATAGCAATTATAGACATTTTGATTGGATGAAGTGTAAAATTGTCTTACACTGATAGTGTACTACCTTTAAACCCTAAAGATATATATTAACATCTATGTTTTATGTCATAACCAAATTATAAATACTCTCTCTTTAGGTAAAATGATATATCATTTTCGTCTAATAGCCACACAAAAATTTAAAAATTGATTACTAAATTTGTCTTTAATTAAACGAAAAATAATAACATAATATATTTTGATGAACTAATAGATCAATAAGGATTTTTTTTAAAAGTTAATGAAGCAAAATAAATTTTGAAAGCAAATGTATGATTAAAAAGATATTAAACATTTCATTTAAAATAGAAAAAAAGTATTTTATAGAGATATATTTCGTCATTATTTGTAGTTTTTTAAAGCTTAATAGCATTGATAAAAGGATGTATGAATAATTAATTCAAATATTTACAAGATAAAAAAATACTATATTACACTAATTATTATTAATTTCACTATCTTTTTTCTCTAAAAAAATCTAATATGATAGTCTTACATTTCTTATTTAATACACAAAACAATGGCAGGAAAAAGAAACTTCTTAGGATAAAGATTTCATGTTCGGTTTTTCTATTAAAGAAGATTATTAATTACATAGTATAGATGATATTATTTTTAATGCGACGTACAATAAATACCTCATAAAAAGATATACACACGTCTATTTTTCTCTGTTGTGCGCATTAAAAAAAGCGGACAGACGGGGTCTGAACGCTAGTTAGATATAAAAAGAACAAAATAAAAAAGATGGAGAGAGGAAAAAAAAACCTTGGATAAGCAAATGAAAGATATGGAAGGAAGAAGAGAAAGATGAAAATGAAAGAGAAAGATAATAATGGTAACTGATATCTTTTTTATAGTATTTTTCTAATTTAACTTTAATTTTTCTGTTATATTCTTTTGGTAACTCTTATTAATTTTTTATTTTTAATTAGTTTGAAGGCAAGTGGAAATAAGTTGTTTTTAACGTAAACATAAAGTTTTTTATTTATGGAGAAGAAGTTATTTTTCCAGTTTTTATACTATCTTTTTTT